CTTTGTAATGTTTTGTAAACAGGAAGTGCGAATTCTCAAACTTCATTCTTTTCAACATTGTTTTGGCTATTCACAGTCCCTTGAGATTCAACAAAAATTTTAAGATAGACTTTTTTTTAAGTGTGATTTTACTATATCATACATTTTGCTCTGAATTTTCTCCATTAATATACGTATTGGATATAACTTTTCATGTCAGCATAAATATCTACATTAGGAGAGATATATTCTTTTAAATAATTACCTTATATATGTATTATAATGAATATGATATCAATATTTAAACAGCTTTTTTTATTATTTTATTTATTGTATCCTTGTCTTTGAAGAGTAGTCTGTAAGGTAAGTTACTAGAAGTAGAAATATTGGATTAAAGGATTATTATACTAGGATGAACACTTAACAAGGGAAAGGATTTCGTTCATTACTATATCTCCAGTCCCTAGAATAGTTCCTGGTATGTACTAGGTGCTTAATAAATATTCCATTAATGATGAAGGGAAGAAATATACATACACACAAATTGTCTAAATTTCTAAGGTATAATTTAGAAGATATTAGCTGAGCAGACTACAACAGACATTGATCATTGGCTTAATTACCTACACAACATCCTTCTTCCTATCCACCTTTAAGATATGAATGGCTATTGACCTAGTCTGGCCAGTGACATATTACTGGAAAAATTCTGGGTGGGCTTATGGAAAATTCTGCTTTCTTAATAAAAAGAGAAATTTTCAGTGAGTGTACCACTGAATGTTCTTCTTCATTCTTTCTGCATGGAAAATAGATGTAATGCTTGAAGTTTCAATATTCATCTTGAGATGACAAAACAAGCAAGAGGATGAAAGTCTGCATGATAAGCAAGTCCAAAGATAGAAAGGGCCTTAATCTCTGTCAGCATTATTGGGCAATTGCATCAACCTTGGAATGTTAACCTATGCATTTCTTCTTTATTTGTTTAAGTAAATGTTAGTTGCTTTCCTGTTATTTATTGCCAGAGGGATTCTTGGCTGATACACAGACATTTGGAAAATATATTCTAAATAGATAGTTCTGTGTGACCAAAGGCATGAGGTTGTAAAACAACATGGGGTGTTAGGTGATCTGCAAGTACAGAGGAGTTCAGCTTGGCTGGGGCTTAGGGATAAGACTAGAGAGAGAGTTAGAGCCTTGTTTGTTATAAGAAAGAATTTGGATTTTATTCTTTAGGCAGTTATATAGATGATGAAGTAAGTTAGGCATGGGAGGAACACAATCACTCTGCTAGGAATGTGGCACACACATTGGAGAAGAGCAATGTAGGGGGCAAGGAGATCATTTGAGAGGCCATTGCAATGACCAGGTGAGGGAAAATGAGGGCCTAAAGTAAGGTTGCAACAGTGGGGAGAGAGAAAAATATGGATTTGAAGTATACTAGACGTGCCTTAATTACTGTTTAATATCAATGGGCATCTTGGAGAGAGAAGTAGTATTACTGCATTGTATCACATTTAAGATATCATTGATACAGAGGACACCATTATCTAATATACTACTTAAAGAAAGAGCCCATCTAATTAAATTATGATATACTATTGATTATAGAAACACATTCTAATTAAAAAGATGCAAAAAGATGTATATTTCAGAATCATTTTAAGCTGGTAATAGCTAATCTTTATAGGTACTATATGCCACACAACTATATGCCACGTTGTGTGGCATATAGTACCTATAAAGTACCTAACTACTTTACTTTGATTATTTCACTTAATGTTCTCAAAAATTTATGAAATAGTTGTGGAATTCTCCATTTTAGAGATAAATGATAAATAGAGAATGACTCTAGTTTTCTCATTAGGGCAAATTCATGTATGATTTTGCCAATAACAGATGTAAGTAAGAGGTAAGGTCTTAGATATAATGAATTTGAGGCTCTCTTGAGACATCCAGTGAAGCCATTCAGTAGGGAGTTCGGTATAAAGTTCAGAGGTTAAGGAAAAAAGAGATTGATTAATTGGGTCATTCATTTATTCGGGTAATATTTAAGGGCCTACTAAGAACCAGGCTCTGTGTTGGGTACTAGAAATATTGTGGAAAGCAAAGCAGTCAAGTGGAGAAGACAGATGTTATTTAGTCATTCCATATATATTTTAATGCATACTTTGTACCAGACACTGTCTTGTGGTTAACAAAAACCATATATGTCTTCCACTTGAGAGTTTATATTCACTTACATTAAAATTAAAGACTATGGCTGGTGAAAACCTTGTGGACATGCTGACAAATAGAAATTGATGTCTAAAAACTTTGGTACAAACACAGCACCTCCCTGCAGTACTATATTGCTCAAGGAACTTCATCCTCCCATTCTTCCAGGTCATTGTTTCACCCCTTTTATTATCTCTTTATCCAAATGCTTCTTTCCTTCTTTTCTCTCAACTAATGACACTGCTTCTTATTTCACTGTGAGAATAGAAGCAGTTGGAAGTAAAACTTCTGATGATCTTCCTCCGATATGAAAACTGCCAGCTCCTCTGCATCTGAACCTCTGTACCTCTGTACTCCACCTTCTTTTGTGTTATACTAGATGAACTTTATGTGCATCTAACTCCAAACCATGATTTTATTTTTGTTCTGTACCTTATCACTTTTTGTATACTCAAAAACTTCTTTACTAAAATGATTTACTTCTTTCTACTATACTATAACTTTTCTCCAATCAATCTCATTATTCTCATCAGCATATAAATATATTTTATCTGTGAAAAAGCAAAATTCTTGACTATACATGTCTCTCTATCTACCCCCCCCCCATCTTTTTTTTTGCTCCTTTTGTCACAATATCTGTCTAAACCTACTGCTTCCACTTCTTTTCCCATTGTCTCATAAACCCACTCCCAATCAGGCTTTATCTTCACTACTCTACTTAAACAGTTTTTGGTAATGTCATCAATGATCTTCATGTTGCCAATTTCGGTGGTCAATTTTCAATTCTCCTTTTATTCTGTCTTTCAGAATCAGCTGACATAGTTGCTCACTCTGGTCTTGAAATCCTTCTTGAAGGAATTTCTTCACTTGGATTTCAATACCCTACACTCCTTTGATTTTCTGTTAGTTATTTTCAGAATCCTTTGTTGACTGTTTATCTTCTGGACACTTAAATATTGCTGTCTCAAAATTCAAGCCTCTGACTTAATCTTTTCTCAAGTCATACTTTCTCCAAACGGGTCTCCCCTCATCCAAGAACTCTAAATACTGTATTGCTAATGATGTCCAAACAATTTCTCATTGATTGCTCCCTTCAAATTTAGAATTGCATTCATAACTGCTTACTCTGACTTTCCACAGTAAATAGCATCTCTGTTTAACCAATAGCTCAGGTCAAAAAATTGTGTGGATTCATCTTTGGTTTCTCTCTTTGTACTACTTCCAACATGAAGTTTAGCAGCAAATCAAAATGTATCTTTAATATGCTCACTTTTCTTTATTTCATCAATTATCACTCTAGTCTAAACACCATCATCCCTGGACTGTATTAATATAAGTCTCTTAACATGTCTCCCTGTTTCTACCACTGTTGTCTTACATTCATTCTCTCACAAAAGCCAAAAAAACAAAAAACAAAAAACAAAAAAAAAACCCTTGAAAATGAAAATCTAATTATTTAATGCCCTTGGAAACTCCTCTAACATCTGTTATTAAATTAAAATCCAAAATTTTTATCAAAGTCTACAAGGCCCTATAGAATTTTCCTGCTCTTTTTCATGATCCGACTTCATCTTTTACTGATCATTTCCATTTCACTTGCACTGCTATAGTCACATTGGTCTCTTGTTCCTAGATTATACAAATCCTGCCTTTGCCTCTGGACCTTCATAGTCTCCGTTTAGTCTTCCTGGGTCACTTGGAATGTGCACAGGGCTTTCCTCTCTACTTCATTCATTTCTCTGTTCCAACACCTCTTCACAAAAGTCTTTCCTGACCACTCTATCCAAAATAACAGTCTCCACATAGTCTTTTATTGTCCCTACTTTTTATTCTTAATAGCACATTTCATTATATATATGACTAAATAACTTATATATAAATACATATGGCTATATATTATATGTAAATATATACCTATATAACATGATATATAAACATATAATTATATGACAAACTATATTGCAAGTAATTATGATGTTATATATAAATGATATATTTATAGCATATGTAGTCTGTATACATAGTAATGCCTAAAACAGTACCCAGTTGTTCTTATTAAGTTGTCAATAAATAATCGTTGAAAGAATAAATGACAAATCTATTGTATTACTGAATACTGTGTTTTGGCACACGCCAGTCTCTACCTTCAGTTTTTCAAAATAATTCTAATGTCCACAGAGTTGTCTATTCCAGCACTGTGTTATTTGCAAAACTGATAAGCATTCCTGTTGTGTGTTTAGTCACTGGCAGAGTATGTGGAACTGAAAAGACTAAATGTTAAGGACAGGAAGTGTTCTATTAGAGAACATTTTTCAAGTTAAATGCATTTACTAATTAACATTGTAGGCATTTGATTGTAAATTAAGCTATGAACTCACAAACATGTAACTCACATTTCTCTAATTTTTTTTTGCATAAATATATGATTCTTTAGATTCCTTGCCAATATCATGTTAGCCAATGGCTACCTGTTCATCTAGGCTACCAGTGATTTATTCTTTTCCTTCTATCTATCCATTTACAACATTTATTGTGCTCACACTGAGTTCAAGGTGTGTAATTCTTCCCCAAAATGCAACGAAGTTCTTTCTTTGTAAACTCATGTGGTTGCAAAATCTTGGCATATACGAAGCACTGACATTTGGAACCAGGACACTGCTTGAGTAAACATGACAGTCAGGGTGGCACTGGTGGAGCAATTTCAGCAAAGTAGCAACAACAATTCTAATAATATCAAAATTATTTCTGAGTGTGCAGAATCAAGGAACTCAAAAATATTTTTTATGAACTGAGCTTAGTATCGACATCTAAACCTGGCAAAAGATAACACAAAGACACTAGTCTCACAAATATTGATATGAAAAGTTAGTAAACAATGCAGTGGCATATTAAAGAATTACTGATTTTACAGCATGAACAAGTTGATTTCATTTTCATAGATGTAGGAAGGCATTTGACAAAATTAAACATCCAGTCTTCATAAAAAATACCCAGTAATAGAGTAATCAATAGTTTCATAATTATGTAGTATTTTATATATACATATATTCTTCTCCTGAAAGCCAGTACCATGCTTAATAAGAAAACATTAAAGTATTTACAATAATTCAGAAATAGGACAAAAAGACCATTTTGTTCTGTTGATATTCAACTCAAAATCTCATAGAAATACTCATATTCCAATTGTAACATAATTAAAAATAGAGCAGAACTTTCATGGATTTGAAAGTTTTCTTTTTTATTCTCTTTAGAATTAAAGAATTTCTTATAAGCATGCTACTAATTATTGCTTTACTCATAATACTTCTAGTGAAGAGACCCATTTAGAAAGACCACTGATATGTGTAGTCTCAGCTCAAATCCAGAGTTCTCACCTGTTCCACATAAATGATGACATGGTTATTGCTCACTTCTGTCCTGCTCACGTGGCTAGATCTTTTAAGCTGAAGAAAATCCAAGAACTCAAAAAGTTAGAGAATAGATGTGAGAACACAGACCTTGAGCAGATTGTAGTAAGGGACAAATGTTCATGTTTTTAAATAACGTGAGGGCTAAGATACTTATGACTCATCTTCATGATTAAATTGTCAAGTTATATTAGATATATAGAAGATGAGTGAGGGGAAGGAATTATGTTTTGCAGACAGGCTTCAACATTGTCATGTCTTGACTTTGAAAAAATCATTTGGCCTTCTATCAAGAAATGGAAGCCAAGTATTTTCAGGTCCGGATTTCTACCATGCTTCAATATCCAAGTAACATATTTGACTCTCTGGCATCTTTGATGATTATAGCTCACATTAGTTTTATCATTGCCAAATTTTTAGTGCATATCAGTCAGCTTGGTATTTAATTATAATCTGTTGTTCTTGCTTTTTTTACTGTTTCATGCCTATGTGTTTTAAGTCCCTAACTAGACGTGAGTGGTCTAAGGCTAGGGACTTCTCTTGTATTGCTCTGGAATGACACGGGTCCCTTGGCTTAGATAGAGCCAAATAAATAATTAATTAATTTAATAGCCTGAGTTGGGGGGAAATATTTTTTGAGGCAGGATGATATTGATAAGGCTTTGATATTAGTATGAGATCTACTAAAATAGATCTTAAAAGACATCTAAAATAGCTTAAAATACATCTACTATTTTTACAGTTGGTTTCAAGGGAATAAAACCAGATACCATCTTTACATCAACAATCACCATATTGGAGACAGGACGGCTCCCTTTGTAGCTGTCGTGTCAAAGAAAGAAAGGAATTAGTGTTCAATATGTGGAAGAAAGCCAGGTTTTCTCTTTTAAGACCCACCATAAACCCAACCATTTCATAAAGTTTCCCTTAAGATTATTATCTACAGAGATCTGTGTTCCCTGGACGTGTATGATATTGATGTTTGGAACCCTGAATGAGTATTAGATCTACAGCTTACTAAAATCATTGATGTTCAAATTTCAGTCCTAAACTATCAAATCAGAATCTTTGGGAGTGTAGCTTGGTAATCTGATTTTTTTTAACACATCTATGGTTTTTGGACACTCCATCTATACTACTTTTTTTATTTAGTATATATTACTTTTATATTTTTAGCTACCTTGAATGTAGCATGTCTCCCAAGAGAAGCTCCAAAATGTGATGTCAGATGGATTCTTATGCTTTTTACTTTGATTAAATTGATGTTTAATAATTGGGTTGGTTGTTTTAAATATCATTTGTTTTATAATATTAATATTAGCATTAGATACAAAGCAGTATCATTTGTGCTATTTTTTTTAGGATTCCTGTAAAGTTTTTGATAGTTTATAACAAGACAACCTCTGTATTTTATATGTAATTTACATTTTGTATTTAATATTAGCATTTATTATTTGTTCATTTGATTAGAAAAAAATAGAATTGAATTATTGAAATGAGGGAATGAAGATTTACTTGAAGTTAAAGTACAAAGTTTTAAGGAAAATAATTTATTCAACAATGAGTTGAACAAAAATTAGTGTAAAAGATAAGTAGGAATTGATTACAACATTTGAAAAATTTACATTTTTTTATTTGATAGATTTAAGACTAGACTTTGCTTTTAAAGTCTTACTAAAACTTTAAAACAAAAAAATTTACTTGAGAAAAGGATCATTTCATAATGATAAAAGACTAACTTCATTAGTAGACATATCAACTTAAAAGTATATTCATCTAATAGCATAGGTTCAAAATATATTATTAATTACTGATGATTCTAGGTAATTTTTAGACTTAGGATTATTTGGTGAGTCAGGTAGAAGGTCTTACCTGACATTCAATGAGACCTGGAAGCTAGTCTGGGCTTTGGGTACATCACAAGTCTGGGGCAGAGTTTTCACCTCCAAAGCAAATGGGGAGTCCTCCTTCTCTGGAAGAATATTACATTTCATGGATGTCTGTGGAACACCAAGAACACCATTAGTTTCTCTCTTTTCTTGGAACGCCTCACTTTTTCATCATTTAACCTCTCCAGATTTGCCCTTTACTTGCCCAGGGAGGAAAGAGTAGAGCTTTCCTTTCAGTAGGAGAAGTTGAAGGTAACTTTTCCAATGTAACTCCAGAGTCTCACCTGGAGATATAAAGTTCCCCAGTCACTGTGATGGCATATTCCCCAGGTGGCTCTGGCAACAAGACCTGCTGTAGTAATAGGAGGTTGTTGTTGACCACTTGGAAACCTGTGGAAAAGGTCCATGAATCTTGAATGGTCACCTGTGCAGTTTTCCGAGTCCTGGTGAAAGTGGCAGCTTTATATATGGACAGGGCATGGAGTGCCACCACTGTGTCCTGGAAGAGATGAACAGAGAACTCACTCCCAAAAAGTAAGGTTTTGGTAGTTGAGATTCTCCCCCAAAGTATATTAATTACACAAAGTGACATTGGCTTTCCCCACTAAAGTATATATCTGCTAATCACTTTTCCTTTTTCTCTGTCTTCCAGGCATAATCAAAGTCATGCTACTGTTTCTCCAAATGAAATAATTATTGATGCTAATTAGTCTTGCAATTTAGTTTGTTGGTACTGTCCTAAGGGACTATTTCTATACCTACAATTTGTAGCCTGTATTTTCTTTTATCAGCAGTCCTCTTTTCTATATCTTTCAAACAATAGGCCTAAAATTGCAAAGTTAAGACAAAAAAGCAACTGTCATTTACTAGATGGCCATTCAGATGGAAGAATGAGAGGAATTGGCTGTGAATAAAAACAGTAGTATAAGCCAAGTTGCACTTTCCCAAGTTTCTTTTCCCCTTTATATAGCTTTTTCCCCCCAGTTAATAGCTCAGAAAATTTCAATATGTACATTCTAAATATTGAGAGAAGATATGTAAAGGGGGAAAAACTCAGATTTTCTGGATGTTTAACACAATCGTTTATACCCTCAATAAAATATTTCCAGAATTGATAAGAAAAAAAATTCAAGAGCTTCACCTTAAAAAAAAATCTATTTAGATATAAACCTAAAAGCAACAAATGAACAGGACAAACAGAGACTCATGGACATAGACTATAGACTTAGACTAGTGGTTTCCTGAGGGTAGGTGGTGGGGGTAGTGGGGAGGTAGATGGGGTAAAGGGGGTCAAATATGTGGTGACAGAAAGAACTCTAACTATGGGAGGTGAACACACAGTGTAAATACATATGCCTTACTGTTAAAGTGTACAGCTGAAACTTATTGGATTTCATTAACCAATGTCACCATAAAAAATTAAAAAAAAAAAAGAAAAAATCTATTTAAAGGGGGAGTAAAAAGGGAGGTCTTGGGACAGGAGGAAAGGAATGGAGAGTCTGAGCTCTGTGGAGTTATTAAATGGAACTTCTCAATCATTCCGTGAAGATCAAAGTGAGCTCTACGTGGTCACTTTCCTTTTAATCACTCGATATACTAGATCACCTTAGAGAATTTCTTGCTGGATTCTCAAGATGTAGTCTGTGGTCTAGAACACTGATTCTCAACCAGGGGCAATTTTGCCTTGTCTTATAAGTGGGTAGGATGCTATTGGCATCTATTGGGGAGAGGCCAGAAGGCCGCTAAACATCTTCCTCTGGCCAGGACACACCCTCACAACAATAATTATCTGGCCCAAAATATCAACAGTATTGATATTCAAGAACCTTAGTCTAGAGTGTGGCCATTGGCCACTTTGTGCTAATGATATGATATAGCTTTAGAGAGGAATGATGTTTATGGTAAGTAGCCAAATTGATAGGATATTAATGCAGAGCTTAATGAAAATTATCTTTAGGGAATGTCTTAGATCTTTTTCCTTTATATTCTCAAATATCCCTAAATAATTCTTCCAAGATTTGATGATTTCTCTTTTCTTTGTAACTGTTTTGTTTTCAAACTTCCCAACTGCCAAGTGAACCTGGAGGAGACTATTTGGCAACCTGAGACCTGGCTGGAGGAGAAACCCCCGTAGGAATTCTGTTGCTTAGCCATATCCACTTCACAACGTGTGATGCGGAAGTCAGATCCTCTGAGGTTGGGACATGCTGGGCCATGAGGTGAGCGAGGAGCACGGAGGACGCCATCTCCACCTCTGCAGAGGGAGTTCGGGGTTGATAAAAATATTCCTCGGGTGTCCTGGGTTTTTGAGGTCGCTCTCAGTGGATTGAGTTGTCTTAAGGGTGAGAAAAAAAGAGAGAATTATAACTATTGGTAGATCATAAGTGAATACACATTCATAAATGGAGCTGAAAATAATATAGAGGTGAATAGGGTTCTCTCTGTCATAGCCCCCAAAACTCACCAACTCACATTTCCGTGCCGAACTCAGTTTAGTCCTGTGGGGCTAAGGTGGAAAATGTTTTTGGAGGAAGAAGCAAAGGGCACTCTTATCAATTACTCAATTAAAAAAAAATTAGATTCGTGGAAGAGAAAAGTGGCAGAATTCTCTTACTGTTTGTGATATTTTCTGAGAATTGGAGTATAAATATAAAGACTACCTATATTGATCTCAGACTAGTTTTGTGATAATCTACCTGGCAAAAAGAGATAAAAACATTTGAAAACGTTATTGCACTTTCTTTAGTATGGCTTTTTATTGTACCTCTTTCCTCCAAGTATGTAGGCAGTTATCATGTGGAAAAATATGTATGTTTTTCTAATATATTAGTCTTAGCAGATAGGAATAAATTTCCATAATTTATCTGCAGCATTACACCTATCATGTTATGCTCTGGGTAACATATGCAATCCCAGGGAAGATATTTTTATAAAAATTGCTCTGATCTTAAAATATATTACCTGGCTAAAGAATTCTAGGTGAAGCTTATTACTTTAGCGGGAATATATTCCTTCTCTTTACATAGAATCAGTGTAAGTGGAAGGGGAACATTTTTTTTACCATTCACTCTAACCTTCTTTCACAGGGTCCTCATCCAGAGAGTTCAGTATTTTTCTCCTCCTAACTTGGTTTCCCACTATGGCACAAGCATAGGCCAGCAATGCCTTGGTATAGCTATGGCTCCCATGGGTCCTCTTCTTTATTGTGTTCCAGGAAGACTCCAGGCAGAACAGGGCATTTTGAACAACATGGTGCTGTAAAGCCAAAGAGGTGCTGGTGTCAGTAGAGGATGGAGAAAGCCCTGTGCTGGATGTCGCTTGACAGGTGTCATTTATAGTTTTCAGCCAGCCAGGTAGAAAGCCGATATCCACTACATTTAAGTTGAAAAATATTTTAAATCTCTTAGCTTTATAAGTCTAGAGAACCTGTGCTTTTAGAATTTATTTTTATAGGTAGCCTAAGAGCATTACTGGGCAAGTATAAATTCTCCATAATGAAGTAGTCCCCAACCGTTTTGGCCCCAGGGACTGGTGATCCTATGGGAATCTAATGCCTGATGATCTGAGGTGGAGCTGAGGCAGTGATGCTAGTGCTGGGGAGCAGCTGCAAATACAGACGAAGCTTCACTAGCCCACCCGCCTCTCACCTCCTGCTGTGCGGCCGCGATACTAACAGGTCACAGACGGGTATGGGTCCATGGCCTGGGGGTTGGGGACCCTACTTTAATGAATCGAACCAAAGGGCTCGTCCATCTGAGAAATGCCTCGTCACTGAGCAAAAGGAAGACTGAGATTTGGCTTTTAGAAGGATGGTATTTCAGACATAAGGTCTGTAGTTTTCATGGGAAGAAACAGGATTGAGGTGGGTCTTACAGTGACTGGAAGAGCACCCTCCAGAAGAGCAATAGTAATATAAGCAGAGAGGGTCATTTCATCTTCTACTCCTCCCTGAAAAGAGAAGGATAGGGGTGGGGAGGGAGGAAGAGAAAGAGAGAATTTTGATTAATTCTACTTCTAAATTTTAGTGTATTCTCTTCTGTTGTTTTATGGAAATTCTCCTTAGTATCTTCTCTATCAAACAAAGTACCATTTCTTTCTTCATTATAGTTTTCAGGGTTAGTAAGCCTTCCCTGACACCCTCTCGCATTACCCTCTCACTTCATCTTTGCAGTTTCTCTGTGCCATCTTTCTCCCCTCACTCTTGGAGGAACATGAATATTGATGTATCATGAGATTCACATTAATATGCAGAGCACTTCACCTTAATGGCATTGTTGAGCAGTGACCCAGTGTTCCTGAAACAGCCATTGTCCTTCTGATTTTGGGAGAGCCAGATGAGGGCTTGGGTAATGTGTGCTTCATCAATGAAGATGTAGGTTTGAGACTGGGCAAAAATCTTCTGTACAAAGGCTGTGAGCCTGATGCATCAGGAAGAGTGGGGTGCTAAGGCCATTTGTTTCCATACAGCAACTTACTGCTCTGTTTTAAACACAAAAACTCCCTCTCCTCCAATTCACCCTCACGAGAGTCAAAGAGCTATTATTGAGACTTTGGAGACTTTCTGTTAACAGGAAGCTTCTCTGTTCTTTTTGTTTTGCTGTAGCATGTTGTTAAATGCCTCACCATCTGGTCTTTGCTTCCCAAAGCTTTTCTGCATCATTTTTGAGATTCAGGTTCCACCTGCATTTCTTGGGTAGTTAAGATATTTACTTTCACATTCTGAATTCTCTGTATTTATTTATTTTCACTGATTTCTTTCTTTTCTGTAGCTAATATTCTAATGAACTGATTTCTTTTAATGGTCGGTTTCAGTAAATATTTCCGTCTATGTCATTCTGCCTCTCCGCCACGTTTCAGGTTATTAATTTCCTCTTATTTTCCTGTGTGGTCAGACTTAGTCAAGATAGCTAGATAGATGAATAGATAGATGAATGGATGAATGGATGAACAGACAGATGGACAAATAGACAGAAAGACTGGGAGTAGGTAGGTAGGTAGAGAGAGAGAGAGACAGAGGGTCATCTAGTAGAAAATGGTAAAAGTACATTGTGAGTAATGGCTACTGTTTTTCTAACCTGTGTCTAGCATCTCTTGGTGCTGCTCAACAACTTAGGAGGACAAATCACCAACTTATAATGGCCCATCAGCAACATGAGAAAGAAGAGAGGCTTGGTATGTTGGATATAAAAAGAATCATTTCAAAGTATTCTCAGTTCTGCCACTTATAAGTTGTTTACACTAGAGACAATGATTTCTGCACAAAAATTGTCATTTCCCCCTTTATAAAATGGAGCTAAAAGCTCTCATTTCACAGATTGTTTAAAGAATTAAATAGGCCAATATATTAACATAGTTGAGACTAAGAATGATTTTCTCTTCTTACCAAGTGTTGCCCTGATTCCTGCCATATTGCTCCCCAAAGGAGCAATATGGTGTTTGTAGTTCAGCTGTCTCCAGTATCCTAGAATAAAAGCTTCAACTAACTCAAGAAGTTAATTGAATTAACTGATGTATCCAGAAGCCACTGACATTTGATAATTTTGTGTGTGCAGGATCTGTATAGTTTTATGGCTATTATGGATATGTCTACACACAATATCCTATTAGATAGTGAGAAAATGTTCATTTCTGCAAAAATTGCTATTATTAGCTTAATATTTGGTGATATAATGTAAGCTTAATTGTGAAAATTCTCACTAGATCAACAAAGTAAACTTTGTCTCACTTACAATTGATGAGATAACCAATGGCCTTAGACTTGATTTCTGGAGTCAGCTGCTGGGATTCATTTAGATTGTTCAAGACATAGATGTTAGGAGCAAAAAGGACCATGTTTTGTTCTCCACAGCCATAGGGCATCTGGAGGAGATTCTGTATATTTTGCATAGCAGAACCTAGTATGTCACCTGGGGAATGTGAGATTAGATGGCAAAGTAATTTCAGTTTATAAGTAGCTAATATTATTTAAAAAAACGATTTTCATATTTAGAGTCATATACTCTATAATTAGACGAAGAGAAATTTATATTTAGAGAGGCTGAACCTTCCAGGATCCTAATACAGATAGACACTGCCAATAAGTTGATATCTAGAACACAGATTTATAAAGATGAATGGTGGTGGCTCTTCTGCCCTAACTTTTCTAAGTGCAAGATGACTCACCCAAAACTAAGAAAGAGGCTCTGGCAGATTCTTTGACTACATTTGGTGGGAGCTTCAAGGATAACCACTCAGATTTTTCAGTACCTTTGGAAACAGACAACCCATATCAAAAGATAACATCTGTTACAGCAGTATAATGTAGTGGTTAGGAGCAGGGCTTTTGAGCCACTGCCTGCATATCACTGCTTGCATATGATACTGGCCCTGCCACTTACTGGCTACATATTTGGACAACTTACTTAACCTCTTCATGGTCTAACTTGCACATGTGATGATTAAATAAAATAATATAAAATATGTATGAATTAGAATACCCTTTGCAAAGTAGTAAATCTCAATACATGTGAGCAGTTATCGTCGTTATTATTACATTTTGCAGTGGTGTTATTATGTCTCCTTGAGGAACCCTGTGTCCAAGGAATAAGAATTTTGACTTATGATGAGATTATCTTTAATGATCTAGCTCTTCTTGGCTCTATGTGACTTCCCGAGTCCTTTTCCTCTTATTTTACTGTGCTCTGTGTTGCTGTGCATAGTTGCTCTCTAAAAGAAGGCTAGGAGCTGATGGGGATTTATAGTTCTCAGATTTAATTGCATAATTTTCTGATTTTATTGTTCCCTGATTTTATGCCTTAAATTGGTCCTTCTCAAATGACAAGAACAGTGTCACATATACTGTGGACATAGAACTAACACTAATGTGCCTATGTAATTTAATAGCTACGACTGTTTCTTAATGATATGATGAAGTCTCAATGTAAAATGGATTTTTTTGGGCCATGAAAACCATGTTTTTAGTAAGAGAGAAGTAAAAAGTGCCAGATGTTTCATTATCAACTATTTTAGAGAATATTAACTGTGATTCAAATTTATCAGGACTCTGCTCTCTTCCTATCTAGTTCTGTAATACTCAAAGCTTCTATGTTCTGCCTGGTTAATGGAACACACTGGACTATAAAGGTGAAAGCTAAAAGTGAACCAAGCAAGTGCCAGTATTAGTCTTAGTTGTACCTCGAAGCCATGTTAACCCACTCTCTTAGGCTCAGTGTTCTCATGTGTAAAATATGTATAAAGAAATACTTAGTTTCAAGCCAAATTTAGTGGAACATTTTTAAAATTATGGGAGATATATGTATGGATATGCATTATAACTCAATATATATATATCCCTGTGAGGCACGGTTCTCATGATGATTATAAAGATGGACTCTTACCTGAAGCACAAGTCATAGAGTTGAAAGTCTTTTCTTGCTCAATACCTTCAGGCTTGAGTGAAAAGAAAACAAGGAGAAAAGGAATAAACATCCAGGTGACTGAAGGACAATCATAGATTCTTTGCTTTGAAAGATGGTATTTACACTAAATGATGTTTAACATCCTACATATTATCAAATTATTATAAATCTATAAAGCATTGAACAACTAGGGAAATTGGCAGAAGAGAAAATGAGGGACAATAAGGGCAGAGAATCAAATGTAATAGATATGAGAAATATATGAATCTTAGAATCGTAGAGATCAAGGAAAGGGAATAGCTCTCAAATAATTTATTTAAAAACTATTTACAATAAGCTAGCAAGTTTAGCTAGCAAGATTTCTTATAATACATATTTTTAGAATAGGAAATTCATTAGTCTTGTCAGATTAATTAAGTGAACATGATATTAACTATCTTTTGTCATCTGAAGAATGTTCATACTGTTTTTTATTGTTACTCGTGTCAGGGGCTCAGAAAAATATGTCAAAGTGATTCAGACTTATTTCCACCAACAGGGTTTTGATGACTGTGTCTTTCCTTCCAATCTCAGGGACCTCAACAAACTCATTTCTACACAGCTCTAGGGACTGCACTGTCTCTGCACTCACCGAGAAGTTCACATTCCCTAAAATAAAGAATGTAGAAAAAATGAGTGTCCATCTTGATAGTAATCCAAGATATCTCTAAGAGCTGAAAATGACTTTATGCTCTGTAATCATTGCAAAGGGCTTCACTTTAACCTTAAAACTTGCTGGAATAAGAAATAAAGCTGAACACACGCGCACACACACACACACACACACACACACACACACCACCCCGAAGCTAATGCACACTGAGTACCCAATGCCCAAGCATAATAATGGTGGGGCCCAGGTGCAGTGGGAGTAGAGGCAAGGGGCCATTGTGGATAGAAATCAAAAGAAGAATAAAAATAATTAACTTCATAGAATTATGTCTGTGGAAAGCAAAAAGAGAATACGATCTAAGCAGTGATCAGAGAGCTAAGATTTTGGGAGAATGGCACTCGCCCAGAGTTTTAAGAGTTATTGTCCAAGACAAGGTTTGCCATTCGTTTACACAGATACAGTAGGATTCTTTTCCCTTTTCATTTTGAGCTGCTAGGAAGGCTGTAGAGGCTTCCATTTGCACACTGACATATCTTCCATGAGTGAGGCATCGAGACAAATTATCAGAATATAGAGAGACAATAAATGTATAGAATTGGGGCCATGTGTGAGATGCTGCACTAAACTGGAATTTGTAAAAAAAAAAAACAAAAACAAAGCCTGCTATATCTAAGTTCATGTACACTTTGAGAAGCAGGAAGATGGCAATGATGCAAATCAAGACTGATTATTTATTAGGAAGGTCTGGCATTTACATTGGGGTAGGTTGGAGAGATCTGCAGATGTAGCAGCAGTGGAGGGGAGGGAAAGCAGCAATGGCATATTACCCCTAGGAGTACTACCTACTGGTTCCTACCTGTTGGTTCTTACCTCCTATGTAGATTTTATTCCTAACTTTCTTCTTTCCTCCCTCTTCTCATTTCCTCCAATGATTTATTATGTGTCTATTCTATATAAGGCAAAGCAAATTTTGAAAGGTATATAAAAGTTTCCTGACCTAGATGATATTGTGTTACAAAGAGGATAGTCTCTACATATACCTGACATAATTTACAAACCGGTAAGTGCTGTAAAAGAAGTTAAAAGTATACGTTGTGGGAGTTAGAGATGAGGGCTCGAAGAATGACACCAACAGAATTAAGAAAACTGAAGTTTGTGTCCATGTCAAGAGTTTTCTTGGCAAAAAGTTTATCTTGTATCAGAAGATTCTTCAAGGTTCAGGAAATTAAAAATAAAGATGTGTTGGAGGTCCACAGTTTTAGTACTTATAGCTCATATGTCATTGTGTTATCTTTGTGGTGATGTTCTGCCTTTCTTAGCTGTGTTTATTCTCAGTACTAGCACATAATTCCCACAACTATTCATAGTCTTGGGAATAGAATCAGGAGCTGACAGTTCTATCCACCCTTTCAATTCACCCTCATTTTTCTTACCCAGATGCATTTGGGAAGGTAGTTTAGGACAATGGGCTTGAGTGTGAAGGCCTCTCCACAAATCACAGAGTAGGGCATAGTGAGCTCTATTAAGAAAGGCTAGAAGGCTCAGAGAGAGATGGGAAGAGAGAGGCCAAGTCCAGTGTCATTGGACAGGCAGAGGGCCCTGCCTTCTACTCAGTGATGGTATCAGGGACTGTTACTCCTACTTCAGCCACACCTGAGGAATTGGGAAGAATAGCAATGGAAGAACAGAAAGTCAGATGAAATGTCTTCCTCAAATGAGAATTAATATGTGTAAAGGTACTGTCAAGAACCGATTCTACTCAAGTGTTCACGTATGAGCACACACATGTACACTAGATTATGTATTGGGGACCAAGGTGGGAAAATAAAAGGCACCAAATGGTGTCTCTTTCCATTAACAATCTATAGCCCCATCAAACATGCGTGTATCTAAAATAGAAATAATTGAATGCAATTTACTTTGGTCCTTAAACTATCCTCGCTATTGTACAATCTCACAAACAAGCATATTTAGGAATCATTATCCAACAAATGGACCATCACGCTTACATAGCCTGATTTGTTTATGTGTTTATTTCAATCTTGTTAATGGAAGACTCCCTGGATGGCATTAGGCAGTACAGTATTTGAATATTTTTTAGTTCCCATGTCTATTTCCTGTCAATCTCAGGAATAAGTATTCTAAAATTGCTCAGCTCTGAGACAATTTTACTAGTGAACTTATACAATAAAAATATTTTCTTAGGTTTCTCCTGAAAGGGCAAAGGTTAAGGCAATTATTTAGCACTTTTCAGAAAGATTATCTTAGAGCTGAAAATGCTGGAGGAGCCGCATTTCTTCACCCACAGCAAATGGGAAAAGTGACATTACTTACTCCACTGCCACCAACTCCCAGATCCAGGTCTCAGGGAAATAATTCTGCACTGTCTCAGAGACTGCCTCTGGACTTTGTACATTATTTTCAGGTACTACATTATGTGAGTCATTTTGAGGATTATATGAAATCCCTTCAACTCCTAATCCTAAAAGTATAAGAAAAAATAATAATCTTAATAATAATATTTCTAGTTAAAGAAAAAGTATCTATTCATTTCATGGTGCATGTGTGGGACTTAGGAGAGCAAATTTTCGGTTTTCCTGCTCAGATTGTCTCTTTAGAGTTGCAGAACTTCAGAAGTAACTTGGTGAACCCTCATTCTTTGAGCAGCGAAGAATCTTCAGTAAAGGCAGAAATTCCATATACCCTAGAGATAGCATACTTTTATGTGAATGGGGCTTGGAAGAACAAGATTACTTATAGATAGTTTTATGGTTTGTGGGGGAAATAGCAGGTTTTCAAGAAACTGAACAGAAAAGGTAAAACCATCTAAGGCAACACGAGTGGTGGGTATATTGCATTTGTTTGAATCACCTGGAGTGAACAGAATTTAATAATATTAATTCTGTGTATTATATCGAAGCTTATAAACTCATTGATCTCTTATTAACAAGTTTGAGCATTAGATTTTATTCTATTTATTTTATGGAAAGACGAAATTAAGAATTCAAGATGCCAAAGAGAGACATTTTCATTTGGAGACAAAGAAAACATTTACAAAAGAGAGAGGGTAGAGAACTAAATGTAAAGGCTCTCTGGCTTGTGCTGTGCCTGAAGTCATGCTTATAAATTGAGTTTGAATTAGGGTCTCCACTCAAATATCCCCTTTGCCGTGAAAGAAAATTTATAAGGAAAAACATATTTCCAGAAATTTTCCCTCAATATCTCTCTCAACTCTTCAAAACATTGACAATAATTTCTTTAATAAATATCATAGAGTTTCTTTCCTTCATATTCTTGTCCCTCATGTCAAGTGGTAGTCATCTCTATCTCTAACTTTGATTTCTCACCGACGTTGTTTTATTGTTTCTGTCTTTATTCTTATTTTTAATACTTAACTATCTAAATGGATGATGCATCTAAATAAACTATTTTTCATTTCCTACCCCAGATAGCAAGACCCTCCAACTTCCCTGGCTATTACAGTTAACAAACCATGGCATAATGTGTTATTTTACTTTAATTTACTGGATGATGGCTATATCCTCCTTATTGTCTCTTGTTCCTGATGTCAATATGACTCTATCTATCCCTTTACAGTCTCTATGTTAAAAATTGATTCTTCCTCATTTTGCAATAATAAATTCTACTTGTAAATGCCTTAAATTTATTTGCCAGAACAAAATATATTTTTTTCTTTTCCTTTTCTCATCTGACTTTATGAAAATGTGTTGCTCTCTGGACTCACCCACTTACCTTCTGTTCCATTGCCGATGAGAAAATTCTTGCAACTGAATATTCTGTTTGTGGCTTAAAGAGGGCCACTTAATCTAGCTTTGTAAGAGTGGTATTTTGACCTTCACTACTTTCAAGCAAAAAGTATAAAGCTCATTGTCTTCTAAATTTAGTATCTAGTGTGATACTTCTTAGAAACGTATTAGATCATGTCACTCCTCTTCTGAAAATCTCCCCATGTCACTCAGAGTAAAAAGTCAAATCCTTACAATGATCTACAAGGCCCTATGTAATCTGACCTCAATTAGTCCTCTGGTCTATCTCTCCGAATGCTCTTGCTTTATTCACCCTGGTTTTCTTATCTTTTTAAAGAACATTCCAGACAAGCTCTCGCCTGAGAGCCTTGAGAGGCAGAATAGTGTAGTGGTTAAAAACATGGATCTGAAGTCAAACTGCTTGATTAGAATCCCCATTCACCCATTTCTTACTGGTTGAGTTACTTAACCTTTCTGTGTTCTGTTTTTTTCATTTGAAAAATGGATGATAACCACAAAAAGAAATGATAATTATGTCAGGTTATGGAGGTGTTAGCTCTGCTACAGTGTTAATCATTTCCTAACATAGATCAATACATTGTACACATTAAACTTACACAATGTTATATATCAATCATATCTCAGTAAAGCTGGGTAAAAAATAAAACAAAACAAAAAACAAAAAGAGGAAAGTGGTGATAAGAATACATACTTACCTTATAAGATTGCTGTAAGAATTAGTGAAATTTATCTATTTATCTATCAACTCTATTATCTATCATCTATTATTATTATTATTATTATTATTATCTACCTATTATTTATCTGTCTATCATCTGTCATCTACCTACCACTCAGCTAAAAAAAAATACCAGAAAAAAAAAAACAACTCTGCTTAGTTCTGGCCATATTATTTACTAGCTAAATGATCTCAGCAAGAACTGCCTTATCTGAATCTTGATTTCTTTATGTATGACATAAAAATAAGGCTACATTATGTATCTCAGTTCACTTTTTTTTTTTCAAAATAATATTGCTGGATGTAAAACAAAGTTAAAAGCAACTTGTTTCTTACCTGCTTGTAATACACGCCCTCCTTGCCCTCTTGCTCCTGTGAGTGGATGAGTCACTGAACATGACTGTGGTTTTCAGATTTTAGAGTTGGTGAGCATCTTTAATCCCATACCCTGTAAAAATGACAACTCAATCGATTTGTAAACTGAATTGGAATATATGAAATATATTTTCCTTAGAAATATTCCTATGTAATTCCAATACCCTTAATGTTATATTAATCCGTGGAGATACACACACTTAGAAAATAACAACAGAGTGGTAAAATTACAGTACTTTATGGCTTATTAAGATTGTATAACTTATCATCTTTTTCGAACAACTAAATATAACTAAAAATATCTCAATGAAATGGCAGAGATTAGGTCTGGCTCTGGCTCTGACTTATGTTAGGCTGAATAATTTCTAAAATTATTTATGTACATAAAGTTTTACTAACATTCAAGATTTCATAAGCTAGTACATTAATAAATAGTAAGGATTTTACCTTTAGGAAGCTATAAATATCTTCTTCATCATAATTTGCTACAGGAATAGAGAGGACTTCATTACCTGTGTTATAAGGATAGGTACAGCTTGCTTGTTCTTCCTCTTGCTGGTCCGGATTTTCAGGGAAATAAGTGAGGTCCTTTACAGTTAGCGGATTATACACTTGTAACATTGGAGAGATTAAAGACAGAACTTTTACCTGCTTTTGTTTTGAAATACCCAGTGAACTGAGAGAAATATGATAGTTGTAATCTCTTGCTTGAATACCTTCATGTGGTTGGTACCTTAGACAGAAGTTAACATTTTTGTTTATTTTTAACAGCATGTTTTTTTTCGTTCTAAAGTGTAAAATGTACTTCCATGGAATAATAAAATCTTAAATTACCAAGATTTAATGAAAATTTCACTGTAGAATTTAAAGATAAAACTAGACCAAATATAGGAAGAAGATCTAACTTATCTCTGTGTTGAATGAATAATTAATGTCCTGAGAAGTTTAGGTAGACATTATTGCCATCTGTTAAAATCTGTTTCTATTTAGCGTCATTCTTAGAAGAACCATATTTTTTTCAATTACACAAAATTGTAAACACGGACTACTTTTTGGAACAAGAAAGATGACAAATGAAAGAACTCAGAACCCAAAGGGTGCAACTAAGAGGCCTGGATATTTATAATCCAGGTCCAGAGTAAGGCCTGAATATTTATAATCCAGGTCCAGTCCTGCTCTGTAAGGACAAGGACTATGATATGTTCACTGCCATTTCCCCAGCTCCTACAACAGACTCAGCACATAACGGGCTTGCAGTGGTGATGATGATGGTGACGATGAGAATAAATCATCACACTTCAAATATTACCACTATGAATTATATAATTCTAGAAAAAAACAGAGACTTAAAATTTGGCTATGAATCATCATTGTTCACAAATGTGTGGTAGGTCATGTTTTTTCAAAATCGAAAATGATTTGTGAATCATTTATTACCATTTTTACAGATGACAGGTATTCTAGAAACATAATTTTTTACATCTGTTGGAAAGTTCATGACTTATGCTCTATTGATTTTATAAAAAGCTTAATTACTCCATTGACCAAAAATGATTTTACTTAGGTAGAATCCATTTTATCTAATACTTTGACAACTTATGAATTCAATCTCTTTTTAAACATGGCCACGTAAGTGGTGAATCTTAACAAAAATTTAACTTTCATTAAGATTATTATAAAGTATGAGTAATTCAGGTTTATATTTGATTCCTTGTAGGAACAGAAGTTACGTCACGGAAGAGACAAAGCCTGTATAGGCAGTTTCAGAATCACATTTCAGCCATGCAACTTCTGAGTAATCTTGCACAAGTCTCTCAACTGTTGTAAATCTTAGTTTCCACAGCATAAAATGAGATTGTTACTCTGTGGGATGTTGGAAAGATTAAATGAGAAAATGTGTGAGAGAGCTTGAGAAATTATAAAAAAAACTAGACAAATGGTAAATATTTTTGTTATATTCTTATATTTTACTCTAACAGGGGCTTCTCCTTGCTCTGAGCACCTTATGTGGTCCTTTCTAACCCCTGAGGCTGAGGGACTCACTGAGGACGGGGAGAGCTCTGCCTCAGGTTTCATGAGCAGCACACTTTGGTCCACTGCACGAAGGGCACAGAGGGACTGAGGAGAAGCTGTGACGCGCAGGTGGGCATGTGAGGCTGGAAGACTTTGTGCTGGGCTGAAGCTCAAATCCGCCTGTGGGAAATGAAGGAAAAGCCATCCGGTCCTTCTCTCATTTGCGTAATCCTGCAGTAACCTAAGCCATCCTAACATTCAGCTTCCTATGACCGGAAGTGTCAGTCAGGAACCTCTTTTCTCATCTTTCCTTTGCTGTTGAAAAGATTGTCTTGTCCTAAGGAGACAGTGGATAGATCATAAGGGATAGACAGTTTATTTGAATTTTAGAGGCCCATCTTTACTTCTGATTCATGAAAAAGTATTTATAGTTGTTCTTCAGGTTTTGTAACTTTTGAGTGTTAGCATCTTACATATCTCAATTGAATCAATGGATTAGGACACCATGGACACAAAACTGAATTATATTTTATATAGAAGCAATTTTGTGTAATTGAAAAAAGTATGATGTTAGCTGCCTGGAGATTTGACTGCACCATTAATTTGCTGGGACCCTTTGGGCAACTCATTTTACTTTTCTGG